TGAAAGGCTGCCTTGTGTTGAGAAGCAGACATTCATTGTATGAAAGAAAAATGGCAGAAATAGGTAACTTATATAATGTCAAAGTTGTGTGACTGGAGGACTGTGAATGAGGTATAAGGCAAGCCGCTCTCGGAAGGATTTTCTGAGGCAATAAACTCCATTTTGGCCCATATCAGAAGGTATGAAATGTCTCTTACAGTTTCCTGCCTAATTCTTACCTGATAATAAAGGAATTAGAATGAAAGCTGCTTGAAATTAGAATAAGCTGCCTCAAGAGATAAGGCAAGCCAGTCACTGGGGCCCACTTCTGTAATTCCAGTATTTGGCAAGTAGAGGCAGGAGGATCACCATGAATTCAAGGCCAGCCTGAACTGCATAGTGAGACCCTGTCCTAAAAAAAAAAAGAGACAAGGCAAAACACTTAAGAGAGTCCAAAAACACTCTTTTAGAAGAAAATTTAAGACAACAAATTGATCCATGTCCCTTTAAAACACACTTTTAAAGGGATATTTTGGTTGAATATCTTCATTTGCTCAGCAAATGTTTATTATTATTTTTAAAATTTATTTATTTATTTGGTTCAGGGTTTTGCTGCACAGCTCAGACTTGGAGAGATCCTCCTGTCTCTGCCTCCCCAGTGCTGGGATTACAGATGTGAACCAACACACCTAGTTTCAGTGACTGGCATGGTGGCATTGCATGCAGTACCAGGGATTGAACCCGGGTCCTTGCATTTGTCAGGCAGGTGCTCACAGTGGTGAGCCGTGGCTTCGGCCCAACAAGTGTTTATTGAATGCATGTTGGAAAAGAGAATTATAGAGGGCTGGCCAAATAGCTCAGTGGATTTAAGTGCCTGCAAGCAGGCACAGTGGCTGGGGGTTCAATCCCTGGGCCTGCTGTGCTGGCCCCGCCCCTGGGGCCCCCTGAGATGGCAGTTAAGACTGGGTGTGGTGGTGCACACCTGTAATCCTAGCTCTTGGGAGGCTGTAAACAGGCGGATCACTAGAGTCTGATCTAGTAGTGAGACCCTGAACAGCCTGTAGACCCTTCCCTAAAAATACAAAAAAGAAAAAAAGAAAGAAAGAAAGAAAGAGTTTAGAGTTGGAAGGAATTCCCAGCAGCTCATTTCCTAATTTCTTTATTCTCAGACAAGCAATGTAGCAACCAGCAGGTAAACTGCCGTTCATTCATTCATTTATTCATTCAGTGAACTTTTGGATCACTACTATGTGTCAAGAACTGGGCCTTTTGGGGGGTCTTTTTAGAGACAGGGTCTCTTTATGCAGTTCAGGCTGACCTTGAACTCACTTTGTAGCCCAGGCTGGCCTCGAAGGTGCAGCGATTCTTTTGCCTCAGCCACCTGGGTGCTGGGATTACAGGCGTGCTTGGCCAAGGACTGACCTTCGTGTTGAATCAAAGAAGAAAAAGCCCGATCTAGTGAGGTAGGGACACATATAGGGAAGCAACCATCATTTCAGAAAGAAAACTGGTTTTTAAAAATTTATTTTTATTAGCCCATGTTTGTAGTTCACACTTTTTAATTCCGTCTGTGGAGTTGGTCCGTGTACACAACATCCGAATTTCTTTTTTATCCCCTTTCCACCCCTCTTTCCTCTTCTCCCATCCCTTGATCCTTCTTTTGTTGGAAAAGAAGATACTGTTTTGAAATAATCTTTTGTTTTGAGACCGGCTCTCCCCACGTTGCCAGGCTGGCCTGGACTCTTGGTCCTCGCATCTCAGCCTCCAGGGGTCGCAAGCGTGCACGCTTGGCCGGAAGTATGATAACTGCTTTCAAGGACGCTATTCAAAAAGCAGAGGAAGATTAGCAGAAAAGCCCGCTAAATGTGTGAGAGTGTGTACCATGTGGGCTGGGCAGGTGCCGGACTGAGGGGGAAGTTGGGTGTGAAATCCTGCCTGTGTCCACTGAGGGGAAGAGGGTCTTTTCCTAATGTGCGGAAAGGCATGATGTGGGCTTCAGTCCTGAGGTGTGGGTGACACGTGCAAATACAGAAAGCAAGATGCGGTAGAAGTATTAGCTCCAAGAGTTGTTCAGGGCTGCTTAAGCAAAAGGACAGAGTAAGGGGTCATGAGCATGGATGGCTGAGCTGGCCGGTCATGAGGTGCACTTTCCCCAACTGGAACTCAAGCAGTGGTGAGTGTCGGGAAGGGACTTGGGCACCTTCGTTGTCTTTTCAGCAGCACCAACTGTATCTAGCCTGGAGTACGGGGTGCACAGGCCTCACCTTCAGGGCTTCAGTCAGGGAAGAATGTGGGGCCGGTGGGCCAACAGTGAGGACAGAGCAGAATGGGGGTAATAGGAAGAGGGAGGAGAGGAAGGAGAGGGCATGGTCCATACTCAGCACCCACAGGGAGTTTGTGAACAGCCCTAGGCTAGGCCTTATGGGTGAATCTGGCTGACCTCAAGGCTGGGTTCTTAGAGGTTTCAGATGGCTTAAAGATGTTCACTCTTAGGGCCAGGGAGATAGCTCAGTAGAACAAGCGCTT